GCCAATCCTTACCCAGGGAGGGCCCTTGATCCCCTGCAGCCACAAGTGCTATTGCTTATCTGGGCCCCTGTTGACCACAAGTGTTCCCCGCTGCCCTAGAACTGTGACCCAGAAGTGGATATGGATAATTAAGCTTTCAAACAGCATTCTTGCTTCTTCCTAGTGCTAGCACAGGTTTCCCCTGTATCCCTTTCTGACTAGTTATCCAGTCCCCTTTACTGTCTCTGGACTGACAGGTCCCAGAGCTGCTTTAGCTGTCATTGCCAACTCTGAGGCCCACAGCTAGTGTTGTTGTCATGGACGTTGGGACCAATGCCCATCCTTCGTCGTAGATCTCTTGTTCCAAGCTGCTAACTTGTTTTGGACTGGGAAAATGGCTCGCCCCAACATTTTGTTGACTGCCTCTCCAGAATTTTATTTCTGGTGTTACTTTAAAGTGGTTTGTTGGGGAATGTTGGGAGAGCTGCCTCTTTTCTGCCATCTCAATTGGGTCCTTTAGCAAGAATCTCTTGTAAAAAATGTTGTAGAATGTTCTCCCTCTGCTCCTTCTTTCATTCAGCTTCCCTGCCTACAAGTCTTCCCAGTTTCTCTAAATGTCTTAATATTCATTTCTTGCAACAAAAAAGTCTATTCTACTCATATCCCTTAGCTGTATAGGATATTTTCTAATCAATAGGCATTCACTTTATTGGTTAAATTGACGGGCACCCACTTTGCTTCCTTTTCCTGTGAGGAAGGGGCCAGCCAACCATCGATCTTTCTTAGCTCCCTAGTGCTGTGGATGCACACTCAGCTTACTTGTCATGAGCTCATTTATCAAACTTCATTTTCCCTTAAATAAGGCAACACCCGGATATGGATCCACTTGAATGCCCCTCCCAGGTCAGAGAAAAGAGGGCCTCAGAAAGGGCAAATCCTTTGCCTCTTTTCTTTTTGCATTGCCCCAAGAATAGCAGTCTTTTCTGCTTCACTTCACTTTAAACTTTTTTTTTTAATTTTTAATTTTTAGGCAGTTGAGGTTAAGTGACTTGCCCAGGGTCACACAGCTTAGTAAGTGTCAAATGTTTCATCTGAGGCCAGATATGAACTCAGGTCCTCCTGACTACAAGGCTGGTGCTCTATCCACTGCGCCACCTAGCTGCTCCCACTTTAAATGTTTTAAAGGGTCTTATTTCACATGCAAAAAAAGAAAGAAATGACCTTTTGCTACCCTATTCCCTTCTAATGTTTCTGGTTTATAAATTTTTTGGAATTTTTAATTAAATTTTTCTTTAGAAGAATTAAACAATTTTCAAAAACTAAGAAAAAAACCCCTGAGATGTCACCTTATACCATGAAAACTGACAAAGAGACAAGAAATAGGAACAGTCATTGAGGGGTAGCTGGTGTTGGAAGACAGGCACACTGACTTACTGCTGGGAAGTGGTCCAACTATTTTGATTTCGTTTTGGAGTTAAGTGAACAAAACTACTAAACTATCCCTGGACTCTCCTATTGCTGAGCACATGCCTTGAGGAAATGTAGAAAGACAGAAACCAAAGTCCAGTATCTGTACCAAAACACATTAGCATTTTTGGATATTTTTAAAAAGCATTTAAGTGCTTCCTATGTGCCAAATACAGTGCTAAGTGCCGGGCATACAGACAGAAAAGTCAAACAGTCCCTGCTCTCCAGGAACTTACATTCTAATGGGAGAATCAACATATAGGGAAGGTTTCAGTTACAAGTCAGGGAAAGGTCCTTAAGGTACAGCAGCAAGGCACATGGTCATGCCTCTTCTTTAATGTCATTTCCACTGCTGAAATCAAACTTCTTTGTAATGATGAATCATTTGATACTCTTTCCAAGGCCCTTGGTGACAAGGATTTTCTTTCTGGGTCTTTAGCAGTTTGACTTTAGCCCCTGCAGGAGCAGTGGTCAGCCTACATCTCCCTTGGGATTGCTTCTTGGGATGATGGCTGTGGGCATTGGGCTGGAAGCATTGCTGTTCCCAACACTCTTGGGCCCAACATCCTGGGCTACCACTCTTAGGGTCTTTGATCAGGGTGGTGGTGATGGTGGTTTGACTGGCCTGCCACATGCTGTCTCCTGTCTCTCCCACAGGGTGCCCTATTTAGCCTGCCCAGTGATAGATGGTTGGCTGGCCCCTTCCTCACAGGAAAAGGAAGCAAATTGGGTGCCTGTCAATTTAACCAATAAAGTGAATGCCCATTGATTAGAAAACATCCTATACAGCTAAGGGATATGAGTAGAATAGACTTTTTTGTTGTAAGAAATGAATATTAAGACATTTAGAGAAACTGGGAAGATTTGTAGGCAGGGAAGCTGAATGAAAGAAGGAGCAGAGGGAGAACATTCTACACCATGTCTACAACCATGGGAATGGAAGGGTCCCTCAAAGGAGGTCAAAGAATGAGTCACTGAAAAACCACAGCAGGTCCTGGAAATGAGCTGGCAAGACCCCTACTGAGAGAAATGATTATTATTATTTGCTTGTATTGAATAACTAATTATTGAATTAAGACCAAGGTTCTCCCCCTTTCCTACTTCCTCATCCAGAAATCAATCAGTGTGGGAAATCTTAGACAAGCCTTAAAGACTTACCCAGGCTAAGATCTGATCAAAGCCAGTAAAGAAATTCTAAGTTTAGGCTAATGGGTGGATTCCTGCTTCTTGTGTTTACTCAAACTGGTCTGGGGAAATGTGGATTGTCCCTTTTTCCAGACAGGTGATCTGGGAATTGATAAGTCTCTGTGACCAAGACTTGAGTGATCCAAGTCATGTTCCACCCAGACCCTCACTGCAATGAGCCCACCTCTCATTATAATATTCATTTTCTTGTTAACCATTAACCAGTCAGAGTTGCTTGCCACCCTCAGAACATCCACTCTTCCAAGGACATATAAACCATGAGCCCCCTGTCACGAGGGGTTTGGCTTTCGAGAGTGTCATTGACCTCATTTATTTATAACACGCTAGCATTGTTAATAAAATGGTTAATTTAACCCAGAAACTATGTTTCTCAAACTTTTTAAACATGACACTACTCTCCCTTAGAACTGGAGAGAGGATGGTGCCTCTTATCAGATGAGCCTCAGAGCAGATGTTAGTCCCATGCTCTTCCACTTGTACACAAGTGAGGGTTCTGCTTGAAAAGAGAACAGAATGGGGGTTGTGGAAATACAAAAGGCAGGAAAAAGATGTGTTTTTACATGCTTTTCCAGAAACTTGTCATTCTGCTGATTATTGCCTTGTGGTTTTGATTGTTCACTGGAGAGTCAGATGAAAGAGTTGGCATGTTCTTTTGTGTTCTTACGGAATGACAGTGGTATTTGTGTTCCTGGCACAGAGGAAGCATTGAGTAAGTGTACCTTGATTGGCTGATTTCCCCATAAAAAATAACCTATTTTGCTGGTATAGTGTGAATATTTCACAACTACAATGAATATTGGCATTGATATGGGACTTTTCAAGTATGTTTTTCACCTCTTTGGAGTTTGTATTTAGTGGTGCTATTTTTGATTATATATACTTCATGGACTTTTCTCATGTAATTCCAAACTGTTTTCAAGAGTATTTGGACCATTTCAGAGCTCCACCCACACTGTATTAGTATGTCTCAAGAATTCTTCCTGTAGTGATGATTTTTATCTTGTATCATCTTTTCAATTTGCTGGATGTGAGAAACATCTTCAGGGCTGTTTTAATTTACAATTATCTTAACTCTTAAGGATATGGGATATTTTTAATATACTTGTAAATAGTTTACGTTTCTTTTGAGTATTCTGAATATTTGGTGGTCTGACTGCCCAGTCAATGCTGTCATAGATATTATGCTCATGTGAGTAAGCAGGGATTCTCTGGAAGTTAAAGGATAATCCATACCAGTTTGGGAATAGTATTGAGTGCTCATATTCAGTGCCTTTGACTGTTTTCAAAGAAAATATTTCTGATATATAGTTGTGTCACTGTGTCATCATATTCTGTGTCAGGTACAATGCCTTTTGGCCTCTCTTGCTTCTAACTGAACTATATTTTTAAAAATATTTTTCACCTTCTTTTCCTGTGCCCACCTTGACATTAGTCATTTAGTTATTATAGTCTACCAGTCATGTTCCAGGCACTGTGGTAAGCACAGGGGATATAGAAACTAAAAATGAAACACTACCTTGTCCTCGATGAGTTTACACTATATTGGGTAAGATAATATGTAAACCAAGTTATTTTTAAGGATAAAAAGGAAGGCCTAATGATTGGAGAGAAATTCAGTGTTCATGGATAGATCGTACCCCAAATGAATATGATAGTACCACTAAATTAATCTACAGATATCATCTGGTGCCAATCTAATTTAAAAGGCAATTCTTTATGAAATATGTAAAGCAACAATGTAATTTATATGAAAAGCTTTGTGATTAAGAATAGCAATGACATTCATCCATAAAAATAAGGAGCATCAGATGATCTTGTAATTATATTTGAAAAGTTATAAGAATTATATGATACTAGTTTAAAAAAGAAAAGTAGATCAGTGACATGCACTCCATTAGGAAGACTTGGAAGGAAATGCATATGGCAGCCTAGTTTTGGTCTATGCTACAGCACAAACTACTGGGGGGGGGGCTTTCATTATTTTATCCAAATTGCTAATAAATAAATAAATTGGAGAGTGCAGTTTGCTAGAAAATAGGTTTGGAGATTTTACTTGATGAATGTCATCATTATGAAAACTAGAACTGATTTTTAAAATGGAAACATCAGTTAGTAGTTTGCACTAGATCAGAAGAAAGACCTCAAAGTAACTGCATATGGCTTCTAGTGCTGGATCCACGTAGGAGCAGAAACTATTAGAGGAAGGTATTCTTCATTTGATCAGAACTTGAGCACATTTTGCAGGAAAACATGGCTTGAGGATATTTCTTCATTTATTCAGAGGTAGTACTGTAGATACCATGTATACAGCAGCAACAGTGATTATTTAAATTTTTTATTCCTTTCAGATTGGGAAACTAAGTATGAATCCATGGAGTCTACTTCAAAGCTAAGTATTTCAACGACAGACTCATCCCAGGAAATACTCAAGAGGAATGGTCTCCTTATTTCCTCATTGGGAGAATGCTTGGAACATAATGCCAAGTTAGGAAATCATCTGAGGAATGAAGAGAAACATTTCTGGGAAGTCAAAATTGCGCAAAAGAAACAACCCAATAAATTTAGAGTCCATGAAAATAATAGTTATTGCAGAAGCTTCAATCTAGGGCCAATTCTTTTCCCACACCATATGGTAGGAAAGAGTCTGAGTATATGTGACACACATGGAGAGTTCTTTAGAATGCATACAGATAGAAGAAAATGTAATAGTAGGTACTCAAATAAAACATCAAAATATAGGAAATGCCTCATGTATAATTCAGCCTTTACTGACAGTGGTAGAATATGTATTGGAGAGAGGCTTTATGCTTGTGATGAACGTGAGAAGACTAATCCAAGGACAGGATTTACCCTTCATGAGAAAATTCTTACCGGAAAGAAACCTTATGAGACTAATGAATGTGGGATCACCTTTTGCCTAAGGATGGAGATTCCTGGATATCAGAATATTCTTACTGGTGAGAAACCTAATCAGTGTAATGTATGTGGGAAGACCTTTCGACTAAAAGCCCAACTAAATCAGCATCACACAATTCATACTGGTGAGAAACCCTACAAATGTAATGACTGTGGAAAGGCATTTAGACTAAAAGGACAACTCAGTGAACATCAGAAAACTCATACTGGTGAGAAACCTTATCAATGTCGTGAATGTGGGAAGGCCTTCTGCAGGCGTTCAAACCTCACCGAACATCAGAGAATTCACACTGGGGAGAAACCTTATGAATGTAATGAATGTGGCAGGGCCTTCTGCCTGAGTGCAGCTCTCACTAAACATCAGAGAATTCATACTGGTGAGAAACCCTATGAATGTAACATATGTGGGAAGGCCTTTAGACTTAAAGCACAGCTTAATCAACATCAGTCAATTCATACGGGTGAGAAACCATTTGAATGCAATGAATGTGGGAAGGCTTTCCGTCAAAAAGGACAGCTTAATGAACATCACAAAATTCATACTGGTGAGAAACCTTATGAATGTAGTGAATGTGGCAAGGCCTTCTGCAGGCGTTCAAACCTCACTGAACATCAGAGAATTCATACTGGTGAGAAGCCTTATGAATGTAATGAATGCGGGAGGGCCTTCTGCCTAAGTACAACTCTCACAGAACACCGGAGAATTCATACTGGTGAGAAACCTCATGAATGTATCGAATGTGGGAAGGCCTTCCGACTAAAAGCACAGCTTAATCAACATCGCAGAATTCATACTGGAGAAAAACCTTATACATGTAATCAATGTGGGAAGGCCTTTTGTAGACGCTCTAACCTTACAGAGCATCAGAAAATTCACACTGGAGAGAAACCATATGAATGTTTTGAATGTGGGAAGGCCTTTAGCCAGAAAGTAAAACTTATTCAACATCAGACAATTCATACTGGTGAAAAACCTTATGAATGTAATGAATGTGGGAAATCCTTCCGTCTGAGCACAGCACTTACTGAACATCAAAGAATTCATACTGGAGAGAAACCTTATGAATGTAATGAATGTGGGAAGGCCTTCCGACTAAAAGCACAGCTTAATCAACATCGGAGAATTCATACTGGAGAGAAACCTTATGAATGTGATAAATGTGGGAAGGCTTTCTGTTGGGGCACACAGCTTATAGAACATAAAAGAATTCATTCTGGAGTAAAACCTTATGACTGTAGTGAATGTGGAGTGTCATTCCACCTGAAAAGAGAGTACACTCAACATCAGAGAATTCATTCTACAAAGAAAATATATGGATATAATGATTGAGGGAAGGCTTTGTTCCTGAGCAAGCACTGCACTCATCATCAGCTTGTACTAATCAGAAATAAACTTATGTATTTGATGAATATGGAAAGCCTTCAAACCAGAGCATAACACTAATTCAACATCAGATGAATATAAAAATATGAATATAACAAACCAATGAAATGTTTATGCTAGAGTTATCATCCTTTACTAAAAACTAGAGAATTGAAACATAGGGGGAAACCCTTTCTCACAGTGGCTATTCCAGTCCTATTCCTTCTCAGATTTACAATGCCAAACTTATACATGACTTCGACTCTTCATTTGTTGAGAAAATTCAGGACAATCTCATAGATGCTCCTTCAACTTGCCTACTTAACCAAAATCTGAGGGCTCTCAACCGTGCACACTCACTTCTGTCACAAAGGAAAAAATATCCTTCCCCTTCTTTAAGATTACTTTCTTACTCTTCCAACCCCTTAATCCCATTCTCCTCCTTGCTAATTCCAGGATATTACTCCAGCAATGATGCATCTTCACTCTATTCATCTAGATCAAGATTTCCCAGAAGTCTACAGTTAAATTGTCTAGTTAAAGAAATGATTTTTAAAATTATATGCAACTCATTGTGCTCCTATAGCTACAGACAAAAACTTTTTTTATTAAAGCCCTAGTCTTCTCAGCACTAACTTTTTAAAGTAGAGGACACTTCAGTGAATTAGCATGTAATGTGACGATGAGTAGAGTAGTCCCAACTAAGGGGATCCCAAAGAGATCCCAGTTAACGGGCGGCTATGGAGTTGAACATTAAATGAAGCTAACAGGCTTTGCAAAGGTGAAGGGAAGAGTGCATTTCAGGATGTATAGATTTGTTTTTCTATGCTTGATACAAGGGAGGGTTCTATGGTGGGGGAATTTGATGGTGGTGAACAGTCAGACAGTCATAACAGAAATACAAATACATGGCAATACAGCATTTTAAAGAAGTTTTCCTTTTCATTATTATGTACTTGGCAAACATCAAAAATATGAACATTTCCTTAGACCAGAGATTCTTAACCTTTTTTGTGTTATAGATTCCTTTGGCAGCCTAGTCAATTCCATGGATCTCTTCTTTGGATGTTTGTTTATTTTTTTAATTCAAAATCAAAATGTTGAACTTCAGAAGTTGTAAAAATAAAATAAAGATGTAATCCCCCAATTGCCTGAACTCTACCCCTGAACTCCAGGTTAAGAATACCTGCCCTGGGCAAAGAATAGAAAAAGGAATGAACATGAACAGTAAATCTCCACTATTCATCTATTGTGATTTTTATGTTTTTATTCTAAAATTTACATGGCAGTTTCAACACTGCCCTGCTAGTCTCCAATCCACTGTAAACTATCATCTGTTCTTTTTTTTTTTTTTAATTGTATCCACAGCACTTAACTCAGTATCTGGCACGTTGTAAGTGTTAAATAAATGGTTACTGACTTTTAGTGGAATGTCGAGTGTGTTGATAGATTGTGGAGGCTTTTAAATCCCAAGGTGGGGAGTTGGTATTTTTTATTCTTGAGAGACATATATAGCCACTGGGTTTTTTGAGCAGAAGGGTGACATGGACTATACAAAAGGATCTGTCCTCCACACAGACCACTTTTGTAGTTGGGTTGGAATTCACCTAGATAAGATGGTCTTTACCCTTTAATCAGAACTAAACTCTCCCCTTTTTGGGAGGGGGGGAGCACCCAGGATTGAAGAGAATGTTAATGCAATCTCGTCATCAACTCTGTCCTTCAGAAGCTGCTCTGTTCTAGCTTTTAAATGAGGAAACAGAAAGGGGAAAAACCCTAGATCCCCTTCCATATTAATTGGTTATTAACCATATTTCTTTCAAGGGAGAAGGATCAATACAGGTTGTGACAATAAGATTATGAACCTGGGAACCTAGAAGGATGATGAGGCCCTCAAAAGAAATAGGGAGTCAGGGGCAGCTAGGTGGCACAGTGGACAGAGCTCTGCCTTGGAGTCAGGAGGACCTGAGTTCAAATGGAGCCTCAGACAATTGACACTTACTAGCTGTGTGACCCTGAGCAAGTCACTTAACCCTGATTGCCTCACCAAAAAGCACAAAAAAAAAAGAAGAAGAAGAAGAAATAGGGAATTTCAGAAAAAGTGGGTTTTAGGGGGATATTCTCTTTTGGACATGTCAAATTTGGGATGCCTGAGACCTGCTCCTTGAAATGTCCATCAGACAGCTGGCCCAAGAGAGACACTAGAGTTAGTTATAGAAACCTAGAAGGCATGAGCATAGAGATAATTAAATCCACATGAGCTGATGAAGTTCTGAGGAAGGCATAAAAAGAAAAGAGAATAGGACCTTGCACATGGGAGCACATCCACAGCAACTATGGACACAGCGGTGTATACTAAGGAGTGGTCAGCAGTAGGAGAACCAAGAGAAAGCAATATCACTCCTCACCTTGGTATTTAAAAACTTTCACTAGCTGGTTCCCAACTTGGTACCAACTTAGAGAGGAGAGAGTTTCCAGTAGAAGAGGGTGGTCCATAGTGTCCAATGCAGCACAGAAGTCAAGTAAGATGAGCACTAGGAAAAGACTATTAGTCTTGGTAAGTAAGACATCATTGGAAACTTTTGAGTGAACCCTTTTGAGTAGTGAGGCCTATTTTAATTTGTACTTAAGGGAAGCCAGCAGGCAAAGATAAAGGTGAGCATTCTAGACCTGGAAGAGCTACGAGATGGAGGGTCTCGTCTAAGAAACAGCACCAAGGTCTGTGTCGTGGATCATCTGTGCGGGGTTTGGTGTAAGGACTGGAAAGGTAGGTGGTGTGAGGTTTTAAAGGGGTTTGAATGGAGTAGGAAGGGGTGACCTGATCAGCCTGTGCTTTAGGAAAATCTTTATGGAGGACGGACTAGAATGGGGAGAGACCCAAGGCAGGCAGATCCACCAGCAGCTACTGCCATAGTCCAGGCATGAGATGGTGAGGACAGGGGCAGTGTCAGCATACTTGAGATATGCTGAAAAGGTGCACTGGACAGGCCTTTCTTGGCAACAGTTTGAATATGGGGAATAACAGATAGTGAGGAGACAAGATTAACAAATATAAGAACCATTTAAGCCAGAATTCACCTCCTTTACGGAAAGGTGAAACTTAGAGAAACCCTTTCCCACAGTAGCTATTCAAATCCCATTAATCCGGAAATCCACAACACCAAACTTACTCCATGTGACTTAGTCTCTTCCTTTACTAAGAAAACTGGGGGAAATCTCATAGATACTAGCCTACTCAGAAGTCTGAGGACTATCCACCACACTCATTCATATCAAAAGAAATAAATATTCTTCCTCTTCTTCAAGACTATTTCTTCTCCTGTCCTCTCAATTCCGCCCCCTCCCACTGGCTCCAGAATATCATTCTTGCAATGATGCATTTTTACTCAGTTCCTCTAAATTGAGTCATTCCTATCAATCTACAGTTAAACTGTCCAAGTCAAGAAAAGTTTCTTTTAACTATATATGTAAATGTAGGAGGTGGAGCCAAGATGGTAGAGTAAAGGCAGGGACTCACCTGAGTTCTCCCTCCAAATACCTTTAAAAATGACTCTAAACAAATTCTAGAGCAGCAGAACCCCCCAAAAGATGGAGTAAAACAAATTCCCAGCCCAAGACAACTTGAAAGGTTGGCAGGAAAGGTCTATGGCACCAGGGTGAATTAGGAGTGCAGTCCAATGCAGACTGGGCCTTGGGGTGACTCAATCACTGGCAGCATTGTTGGTTTCCAGACCTCAGCCCACAGACGCCAAAGACAACTTAGAAGGTCAGCAGAAAAGGTCTCTCACACCTGGGTGAGAGTGGTGCATAGTCCATTGAAGGCTGCTGCAGCACAGCCAGGCTCCAGCAAACCAGGAGCAGGCCTTGGGACCCACTGAATCAGCAGTGGCAGTGGCTGCCTCCAGAGCTCTCAGCCCACAGACGGTAATGGAGTCAAACAACTGGTCAGAAGGAGATTACTGGGGTCATTTTGCTAGCACTGAGGCAGGACTCTGTTGCTTTGCCCATACTCAGATCCAGGTCGCAACCCTGGGTGGCAGTCCCAGGGCGAGGAGGAGCACTGGCACACCAGAGCTTGTGGCCACAGTGGAGGGGGGAACCTCCTCACAGTACTAGGGCAGAAAGGAGTGCTTGTGGTCACTCACAGACCAGAGCACAGGCTAGGAGAGATATCACCTTGGAACAACCAAAAACTCAAGAGATCCCTAGAAGTATTTCTGAAAACAGCTGCACAAAGCCCCTAACAGTTTGCCCTCCACACTGGAAGCAGAGCCCTACTTTAACAAAAAGTTAAAAGTCAACTAATAGGCTGGGGAAATGAGCAAACAATGGGAAAAAACTCTGACTATAGAAAATTACTATTGTGACAAGGAAGATCAAAACACACTCAGGAGAAGACAACAAAGTCAAAGCTCCCACATTCAAAGCTTCCAAGAAGAATATGAATTGGTCTCAGGCCATGGAAGAGTTCAAAAAGGATTTTGAAAATCAAGTAAGAGGTAGAAGGAAAACTGGGAAGAGAAATGAGAGTGACGCAAGAAAATCATGAAAAACGAGTCAACAGCTTGATAAAAGAGACACACACAAAAAATACTGAAGGAAATAACACCTTAAAAAACAGACTAGGCCAAATGGTAAAAGAGGTCCAAAAAGTCAATGAGGAGAAGAATACCTTAAAAAGCAGAGTTGGCCAAATGGAAAAAGAGGTCCAAAAGCTCACTGAAGAAAATAATTCCTTAAAAATCAGAATGGGGGCACCTAGGTGGCACAGTGGATAGACCACCGGCCCTGGATTCAGGAGGATGTGAGTTCAAATCCGGCCTCAGACACATAACACTTACTAGCTGTGTGACCCTGGGCAAGTCACTTAACCCCATTGCCTAGCCAAAAAACAAAACAAAACAAAATCCAGAATGGAGCAAACAGAAGCTAATGACTTCATGAGAAATCAAGAAACAATAAAACAAAACCAAAAGAATGAAAAAATAGGAGACAACACGTAGATGTAAGAAACCATCCTAGATTCAACGAATATAGAGATAAAAATTTAAAACTGTTCAGGTCTAGTAATGAGAGCATCCATCAAAGTCTACCAGTGAGAGCACCTCATTAAACAGGCAGACAATGGGAAGATGGACAGACCAGATTCAGCTAAGGGGACCCCAAAGAGACCCCAGTAGCAGGGGGCCACGCAGTTGAGCAGTGAATGAAGCTAAAAGAGTTTGAGAAGGGGGAGGTGAGAGGAAAAGTGCATTTCAGCATTTGCTTTGCTTGAATATATTTGATACAAGGATGAGTAATGGTGGTAGTGGGGGAGTAGATTAGAGAATCAATTAGGAATAAAAGGACTGTCTACCGGAGGTGAAGGATCAGCTATTAGATAACCAATTTATTGTGGATTTAGCACAGATGCTTGACCCTTCAACTCCATGGGATCCTACATGAGGCCAACTGGTCCAGCCCCCTCATTCAGCAGATGAGGAAACTGAGGCCCAAAGAGGTTATTGGGTTCATCAGTGTCACACAGGCAGAAAATGTCAGAGATGAGAACTGAATGCTGGTTCTCCGACCCGAGCCAGTGATCTTTCCCCTGTATCAAACGGCCTCTTTCGTTAGCACCTTATACTCAGTATGTCCAAAAGGGAATTCACCTTTCCTCTTAACCTCATCCTTTCCTCAAAATTTCCTAATTCTGTTGTGGACAGCACCTTTTCTTTTTTCTAGGCTCTAAAGTTTACTCTGAGGTATCCGAGACTCTTTTCCCTGCCTCTGTGTCCATTTGGTGGGCAATTCTTGATTCTATCTGCAGAGCTCACATCCATTTCTTTTCCCTTCATATAGCAACCACATTCATTCAAGCCCCTGTCAAATTTTACATGAAGTTCTGCAGTAATCTTCTAATTAGACTTTTAGCTTCCAGCCTCTGCCTCTTTCATATGGCCGCAAAAATAATCTGACTAGTGCTTCTGTCCATCAGTCCATTCTCCCACTCGAGAAACTTTACTGGCTTCCAATTATTTGTAAAACACCAACTCCACACCTAGGAATTTGAAGTCTTGTCCATGGTAGGTTCCAGCCTACCATTCCTAACATTTCTTATTACTCTTCTGCAAACATTTTACATTGGGTCAAACTGTCCTATTTGCTGTATCCCAAATTCAGTATAACATCTTCCACCTCTCGGCTGTTGCTGATGCTGGCCACCATGCACAAAAATCTCTCCCTCTAAAAATTCCATTTCTTAGAAGCCCTAGCTCCTAAAGTTCAGGTAATATGCAACCTCCCAGGTGAAGTCCTTTTTGCTTTTGCCATTTAGAAGTACTTTATCCTTTTTCAAATTTTCATTTATTCATCATTTTAAATGTTAGGAAAAGGAAAACTCCTTGAGGGCAGGAACTGCTTTATTTCTGTCTGTATTTCCAGCAGTGAACCTCATAAATGGCATATTCAAGATGCTTGGTGAAGTTTTTTACTTTGAGTTAAATGGCTCCACTGAAAATAAAAGCCTGGAAAATTGATAGACACAGGGCAACCAGGATACCAGGTTGGAGGACAGGATCAGAGTCCAGTAGTTAGTTAAGTCACTGTGTCGTGGCATACAGAAGATGCTTGATAAATATTTGTGGACTAACTGTTCAAAGATAGTAACAATTTAGTTACTTTTCTAGAATGCTTTTCCAAGATGGTTGAATGAAATCATAGCTCCCCAGAGACTGTCCTTCATCTCTTCCAACACTGACCATTTTCTTTTCTCATCTTTGCTAATTTGATGGGATATGAATAGAAACTTTAGTTTTTTTAATTTGCATTTTTCTTATGAGTGATTTAGGGCATTTTCCCATGCAGTTGTTGGTCATCTGTCTTTTGAAAACTCTGCATATCCTTTAACCAGTCATGATGAGGTGGCTATCCCCTCTTCCTGTTTAAGTGATCCCATTCCATCCCATCTCCTCCAACAGGTTGCCGTCCTCTGTTATCCCTGTCCTTTCACTTTTCTATCCCTCCCTCTCTACTGGCCCATTTCCTACTACGTACAAATGTGCCTGTGTCTCTCCTATTCTCACTTGTGTCTTCCATTCCTGCTGTCATCCTGTATCTCTTCGGCCCTTTATGGCTAAGCTCCTGGAAAAGGCCATCTACAACCGATGACTCGGCTTTCTTTCCTCTCACTGTCTTAACCTCTCATAATCTGGCTCCTGACCTTATCATTCCACTGAAACTGCTCTCTTCAAAGTTACTAACGATCTCTTGGTGGCCAAATCTAATGGCGTTTTCTCAGTCCTTGTACTCTGAGACCTCTCTGCAGCCTGTGCTATTGGTGATCACCGTCTCCTCTCTGCAGCCTGTGCTATTGGTGATCACCGTCTCCTCTTTGATATCCTCTCTTCTCTAGGTTTTGGGGACATCACTCCCTCCCGATTTTCCTCCTACCTATCTGATAACTCCTTCCACCCTCCTCCTTTAGATCAGCCTCCTGAATGGGTGACCCTGGAGGCTCTTCCAGGACTCTTTTGTCTTCTCCCTCTACAATGCTTTACTCGGTGATCTCCACGATTTTAATTACCACCTCTATGCTGATGACTCTCTGATCTACCTACTCTACAGAACGCTTTCTGCTGATCTCCAACTGCCTTCCAGACACCTAGAAACGGATGTCCTGTAGACATCTCAAATTCGACATATTTCCCCTGAGCACCCCCACCCCTACCTTCCCTCTTGCTGGAGAGGGCCACACTGCCCTCCCACTCCCTAGGAGCCATCCTGGCCTCCTCAGTCTCTCTCACCTGGAGGTTTCCGAACGGGCACACCGTCCTCCCTCCTCCGCCTGCTGACCCCATCCTCGGACTGCAGCAGGAGCTGCTGGCGGCCCTCTCCACTACAGTCCATCCTCTCTTCGGCCCCTGGGGTGGTTCTCCTGCATGCGAGTCAGATCACGCCCCCTCCCCCAATCACTAGACTCCAGGGTTCCCTATGGCCTCCGAGCACCAATGCGGGGGGGCTATTTGGTACTGGAAGCCCCCTCCCACCTCTCCAGCCTCCACACGCGAGCTCGGGGCCCCCCCCCAGACAAGCCCCTCCGTCCGCAGGCTCTGGGCTGCGTCCGGCACTGACCTCCCCGTCCAACGCATCCCTCTCGGCCCGCACAGACGGCCCTCGTGCGCAGCTGGCGGCACGGAGCGGGCACGTGGTGTCCTCCGAGTGGCGTGGCGCCACCTGCCCCCGTTCCCTCCCCCTTCTCCGCCTGCGGCCTAGCACCCTCACGCGGGGACGTGACTCCGGGAGAAGGGGCCGCCGAGCCCCCGCCGCCTCCACGCTGCCCGGAGCCCAGGGCTCAAGCCGCCCTTGCGGGCACCTGCACCCCGGCCCGGGGAGAGGAGGCCGTCGGGAGGCCGGAAGCCCAGCTGGGTTGGGGGAGGGAGCCCCGGGTCGTCACTGCCAGGACCCAGCCGCGATCCAGCCAGAGGTCAGTGACGGAGCGGCTCGAGGGCTGAGCACGCGCACTGACCGGCCGGGCCGCAGGACTACGTTTCCCAGAAAGCCCCGCTCTCCCTGCGCGCTTGCCCGAAGGGCAGGGACCCTCCGACCCCACGGCGGAAGGCGCTTTCAAAGGATGGGCCGAAATGGGAGGGGCGGGGAGCGGCCGTCTGGAGCCGCTTCCGCCAGCCTCGCCTCCCGCGAGCGCGGCACGACAGCGGTTACGTCACGTCCGCCCTCGGGGCCACCGCCGCCTTCGCTGCGCTCCGTCCTCCGGTGCCGCCGCCGGCCCGCGAGTGCTCCGTCCTGCGTCACGGAGAGGGGCAGCCGGAGGCCTGGCCGGCCGGACGCCGGGAGTCGGGGACGGCGGAGCGCCCGAAGCCCGGTTTCGGAGCCTCCGCGGTGGAAAGAGCCGCGTCCAGCGCATGCGCAATCGTGCTCCCCGCTCAGAGCTAGTTTATCGGGCACTCCGCGGGGCGGGGCCAGCCTTCCTGGCCAATCATCGGCCACGCCCTCTACTTCTGGGCGGGCTCCGTTCCCGCCCCCTCGCCGGGGCGGCTGCTGGTACCGCCCCTTCCTGCGGCGCGGGTAGGATAGGGCCCCTCCCTGGGCCCCCAATTTCTTTAGGGGAGGCCCATCCCCCGGTCCCCGGGCTGCGGCCCCACGGCCCCTTCTCTTCCGTGGCTGCACCTTCGCAGGCCCCTGGCCCACCGAGACCCCTCCCCCGGCGAAGAGGAGCAGGAGGGGCATGGCCTCCGCCCGCCAGGTGAGGAGCCCCCCAGGCTTGGCGGGGTTGGGGGCCTGCAGAGACCCCTCCCCGAAATTCCCTTCCCAGAGCCCCCCTCCGTCAAGTCCCTACCCCCGACTGGGGCTTTCTTCGGGTTTCTCGGCTCCATCGGGGGCGTTGGGCAGGTTGACCATGGAGTGGGCACGTGCCGCCGCTGGGTGCCAGGGGCCGCAGGGAACGTTCCGCGGCCGCCGCGTCTCAGCCGTAGGAAGCCCGGGCTCGTCTCAGCCCATTAAGCAGGGGTCCGTTGGGTGCCTTCTCCGTGCCAGGGGCTGGGGAGGCAGAAAAAGGATGGAGCCTCCTGCCCTCGAGGGGTTCACGCTTTCCTGGAAGAGCTTGTACACCTCCTCCAGAGGTGCACTCTGTAAGATTTAGTTGTAGCCACGCTGTGGGCTCTGCGCTGGAACTAGCCGCTTGGACCCCTGCAAAGCAGCTGGTCACCCCTGGCGCAGGGCTCCGTAGATTACCCTCGGGCTTCCCGGTATTGGCCATCAGGAGCCCCCGCCTGTGTGCTCCCCTTATCAGTCAGCCAGCTGACGTGAATTTTGTTGTCCTTCCCGTGGACTCTGTGATGACATTTGGGGTTTTCTTGACAAAGACACTGTAGTGGTTGGCCGTTTCCTTCTCCCGCTCATTTTACAGATGAGGAAACTGAGGCCAGCGGGTAAATGACCTGTCCAAAGTCACACAGCTAGAAAGTATCTGAGGCCAGGTTTGAACTCAGGAAGATGAGGCTTGTGACTTTAGGCCACGCACTCTACCCACCGCACCACCTAACTTTTAGGAAAGGGTATTTAGGAAAACATAAGCTCCTTTTGAGTACAGATTACTTCATTCTTTGTGCTTTTGTCCCCACCCCTCAGCCATTGCCTGGCACATTAAAAATATTTGCTCATTGATTGAAAAGTTATTGTTTAGTTGTGTCCGACTCTTCCTGACCCCATTTGGGGTTTTCTTGGCAAAGATACTGGAGTGGTTTGCCATTTCCTCTTCCGGCTCATTTTGCAGATGAGGAAACTGAGGCAAATGGACCCTGTGTGCCCAGGGTCACACAGTTAATGAGTGTCTGAGGACAGATTTGAATTCGGGTCTTCCTAACTCCAGGCCCAGTGCTGCCTAACTGCCACCAAAAATAAGAAGAGTAGTTATGAAATCAAAGCCCCCCCCCCAAAGTGGAGGTCAGACTCTTCCTGTGTATGCATGAGGTCCCAAGGAGAACCAGAGTCTAAACTGATGGAATTCTCCTGGAGTTCCCCTTTGGTGTAGCTCTCTTCCGGGCTCTGAAAGAGCAAGGTGAAGCCAGGTGAAGGAGAAGTCAAGAGAAACTGTATACAGGGTTAAATCCGTCCAGGACCAGTCCCTGCCAGGCAGTTAGAAGAAAGCAGCTTGTATTTTTGGAAAGAGCTCCCCTCGTGGATTCAGGAGCTCTCTGGGTTCAGTCCCTTCCCCAACCTGGAATCGCAGAATCAAAGAGCTGGAAGTCGCTTTGGAACTTCCTTGTCCCACCTGGACCCGATGGTACCCCCTCCGTAGTGCACCTGTTGGCGTGATTTATCCTTTACTTGAAGACTTCCAGGGTGAGGGAGAACTTCCTGTCTTCCAAGAAAGACACTTCAGTTTTGGATTCCTCTCATTCTTAAAAAGATTTTCCTAACAAGCTTAAATTTTATACTGTTCAATTACTCCTGGTTCTGCTCATTGTGTCTCAGCATAACAAGTCCTTCAGATAATGGAAGACAGCTATCCTGCCTCTGCTCCGTCTTCTCTCCTCCAACCTGAACTTCCAAGGTTTCCTTAGTTTATTTTCACTCCCTGCTCTCCTTTGGAAAATTTCCAGTTTATCTGTGTCCTCCCTGAATGTGGCTCCGAGAATTGACAGCAGCGTTCACATCTCACTAACTCACTGCACTTCAAAGCCCCACACCTGCTGTCTACCATCAGAGGACCAGCTGTCTCACCATGCCTTCCCTGGGAAGATCTTCTGGAACAAGGACCTGGACAGCTGCTATGTTAGCTCTTCCCAAACTTGTGCCACTGGCAGATGGGACTAGCATGCCTCCTCTGCCTTTGACCAGCATACTGATAGAACTGTTAGACAGCACAGGTCCCCAGGGCCCCCCAGTGAGGACCTCCTGTTGAACCATTCTAGACTGTCTTTGGGTCTTACCACGCAGCCAGCTCTTAGTCTGCCTGTTTATGTATCTGTCCACATTGTCTTATCTTTTCTTTTTAAAACCTTTGTTTTTCTTATTCTAAACTTGAGAAACACTAACAAGCACAGTCATTTGTATAAAGATCAGAAAAAGAACTGTCCATGACCCACAAACCACATTTCCTGTGGCCTGTTTTTATTGGTGTGCTCCAGAGTGGTCTGTGGATCTGAGTTGCCTGCTAGACCTCCTTCTGATCTCCTCGTACATCTGGGTAGAATGTCTGTGGCTGGAGTGAAAATTTGGGTGTAAAGGAAGAGGGGCCTTGTAGGGATGGCTGAAACAGTGGACTTAGAAAGGCCTGGTGTTTGACACTCTGAAGAAATGTTGGATTTTAAATGGACCATGATGGCCGTCTTGTCTCTACTTGGAAATAAGTCCTGTTAGAGGAGGGAGAAAAGCCTTCATGTAGTCCCTAATACATGCCAGGCGCTGTGCTAAACACTTTACAACTGTCTCTTACTCGATCCTGATGACAGCACTTCAAGGTAGGTGCTGCTATTATCCTCATTTTACAGTTGAGGCAACTGAGGCCTCAGACCTCAGAGGTTCTGTGACTTGTCCAGGGTCATACAGCTAGTAAGTATCTGAGGTGGGATTTGAACTCAGGTCTTCCAGGCTCCAGGCCAGGCTGTGTCCGCTGCACCACCTACCTGCCTCCTTACATCATGATAGACAGCGTTACTGTCAGCATCCTGATCTCTAACATATAATTTGGGGGATTGAGAGCAAAGTCCATGGCACACTTAGCTACCTTGGCAAAGTCACGTGTAAGAGGGACCTTAAACTCAGTAGGAAGATACAACCTGCTGTGGTTGAAGGAGGTCTGGATTCTAGTAGTGTCTTTGATCCTCACTAGCCGTGTGTGTGTGTGTGTGTGTGTGTGTGTGTGTGTGTGTGTGTGTGTGACTCACAGTTTCTTGTTCAGCCTTCCTTCCTGTCACTTTTGCATTCTGAAAATGAGAATAATGAAACATTTCCTCCCTGGCTCACAAGGTTGTTGTGAGGAAAAGCTTGGTGAGCCCCAAGACTGTCACTTGTTGTAAGGTTGAGAATCTAGCACAAACCGAGGCTACAGGAGGCACTCGGACGATTGAGTGAGAGCACGTTGAAGCCTGAACACTCATGAGAAATACTCTTGACAGTTTCCACCAACTTTGCCTCTCACCAGGTCCATGGGAGTGATAGCCCATGGATAATCATAAATGTCCTTGGTGTTTCAGGAGTCAGTGACCTTCCAGGATGTGGCCGTGGACTTCACCTGGGAGGAGTGGGGGCACCTGGGCCCCGCCCAGAAGGAGCTGTACCGAGAGGTGATGCTGGAGAACTACAGGAACCTGGTGTGCCTGGGTGAGGACTGCGGCTGCCCCAGGACTCGGTGCCGGACTGTTGGGGGTCTTTGTTTTCCCTGACTGAATGCATCCCAGTGTCGTGGGGGTGGTCAAGCAGGTCGTTCTGTCTGAGCAGAGAGACTCAGGTTGCTAGTGCTTGGTTGTGGCCAAGACAAAGAGGATCCGTGTGCTCCTGTTCCGGGGTTTGTTCTGTACAGCTGGAACCTGGCACTTTGATTGTATTGCTTGCTTGTAAGCTTTAATCTGTCCTACTCTTTGTTCCTTAAGATCTAAGATTCTTAGACCCCAGAAGTCTTTCTGAACCCCAGTCTACCGTCATCCATTCTTCCCTGTTTCTGAGCAACACAACAGAGACTGTCTTTCTGAAGAACACTGGGTCACCAGGTGGACTTTCTTAGAGACAGGTCTCGGGATAGATTCTGTAGTGGCTGTCTGTTCTCAGTACTTTCTCATTTTCAATGCACAGGCCTTGAAGTTTCCAAACCGGATGTGGTCTGCCAGCTGGAGCGAGGGGAAGCACCTTGGATGCCAGAGGGAGCAGTTCCAAGAAGTTGCAGTCAGAGTGAGTAACATGAGTCATGGGAAGGCAAAAGGTCAGGTGACCGCCTTCCAGTGACTCAGGGAATCCCTCCCAAACTATTGGTGGTCTCCGGAGGGGAAAACTGAGTCTTCCTCAGATCCTCACTGTCACTTAAACAAGCGTGACTTGATCTCTCTCCACTCTGTGTGTTTATGTATAGTCTCAGAAAGAGAAGTTATGCCCGAGTTGCGAGTAAGAATGGTTCAGCATTTTTTAAAAATTGGCATAATTAATCATATATGCAAAACTTACAGGATTAGGTGCAGAAATTGCTTTTGGCAATCACAGCAGTCATTTATGCTAAAAACCCTAAAATGCATAAGCATGGAATGACCCTCTTTTGATACATCTAAAACCTGGAGAAGAAAGTGCCGAACCACCCCAGTATCTTTGCCAAGAAAATCCCAGATGAGGTTGGGAAGTGTCAGATATGCCGGGAATGAGAACAGCAAAAACTCGGAGCCTCGTGCTGTTGGCTGTGACAGAGTAGTAGAAGGTTTCCCAGTAAATGCAGGCCTAAAATAAGGATGCCTCCACCCCACTTTTATATAGTTCTGGAAATGCTAGGAACAGAGAAAAAGAAAAATTTAAGGCCTTTAAGGCGTGGAAAGAGAGCAGATGATTATCCCTGTACATAGACACAACTGTATACTGACGGAAAACCCAGAGAATCAGCAAAGGACAAAAATGAAATGATTGCTTCAGTAAAGTACTGGGATATAAAATACATACAAAAGATAATCAACATTTCCATGCAGCAATAACAAAAACCAGGGACAAATGATAAAGGGACATTCTTTCACTTTAGTTCTGTAAAGAAACATTCCGGTTGGTATTTTAGCTGGCGTTGCGCTAACCTGTGTCTTGCCTGAAACCTAGTTTGCATTAAAGCAGGATGCCTCTTGGAGGTAGAAATGCTCGTGATGTTTGGTGGCATCGTTTGCTGTCTATCTTATGGACCCATTTATTATCTCAGATAAGTTTTTTGTTGAAGTTAAGCTTTCTAATTATGATGTCATTTTGCAAATAGGAATCCTTTAGCTTCTTTTTTTTCACTTGCCTTAAATGTTGTTGCTCAGGTGCACCCGACTCTTCCTGACCCCATTTGGGGTTTTCTGGGCAGAGATACTGGAGTGGTTCTGTCATTTCCTTCTCCAGCTCATTTTACAGATGAGGAAACTGAGGCAAACAGGGTGATGTGACTTGCCCAGGGTCACACAGCTAGGAAATGTCTGAGGCTGGATTTGAACTCAGAAAGAGGAGTCTTCCTGACTCCAGACCCAACACTTTGTGCACTGTGGCGCCCCCTCGTGGCCTTTCCTTGTCTTACTCCTGTGGAAACGACATAGTTAAAAGGATATCAAATAGTAATAGTCTAGTGTTCTCCATAGTATGGATAGTAACAGCCCTGCTTTGTGCCTGTTCTTTCATTTCTTCAGCAAGTACTTACTAAGCAACTGCTTTGTACCCTAGACTGTGCTCGATGCTGGATACAAAGACAAAAACCAGTCGGTCCTTTCCCTCTGAGAGCTGGCATTCAGGCGTGCACAGAAAAGTAGACGAGAGTACTTACACGGTAACGCCTTCCGTGAGGTCCTCCTTCTGCACGTTGGCCACGTTGGCGCGGTGTGTCCTCCAGTAGACCGTGGGCTTCTGGAGGGCAGGCACAGGGTTTTCTCCTTTCTTTGTGCCCTCTGCACTTTGCGTGGTGCCATACATATAGAAAGCCCTTAACAAATCCCTGTTGATTATTAATTGATTAATTTGGAGCTCACGTATGGTGGAAGAGGCATTGGTGGCAGGACTTAAGCCAGGTCTTCTGAAGAAAATGGCACCTGAGCTGGGGTGCAGCATTCCTACTCAGGGAGCCAGGTGTGGGTGAAGGTCCAGCCAGAGAAGTGGAGAAGGAAACTCAGGAAGGGGGTACCCAGCATGAGAGGCTGGCGCCTTGATCCCCAAGGTGCCAGGTTCAGGAAGGAGGACACTGAGCTGGTAGAACCTAGTCACGTGAGTGGCGGGGGGCTGGCGTCGGCCTCAGGCTTCCTGAGCTCCTGTCCAGGATTCATCGCTCTTACTGCATCAGTCAGAAGTGACGAAGACTGGGTGTTCCTCAAAGGGCGTGGATATGCAGGGGCCACCAGCTAATGCTTTATAGTCACTGATGCCCCCGTTGGGGTCAGGAAGGCCCGAGATCAAGTCCAGCCTCAGGCACTTCCTAGCTGTGTGACCCTGGGCAAGTCAGTTCATCTGTCCGCCTCAGTTTCCTTATCTGTAAAATGGCACCTACTTCCCAAGGTTGTTGATGAGGATCAGATGTAAAGTGCTTATCACAGTGCCTGGAACATTATGTAAGTGTTAGCCATTACTATCATGTCATATGTTGTCATGCATCATAATATTTTCCTATCATATCATTGTCATTAGCTATTATGATCATATTCACATAATCCCAGAAGGTCACATGTCCTATAAGATACTGCTGTGATATTGGGGAGAGAAGGGAAGAAATGAGTGCCTTGCAGGCATTTGAGCTGTGCCTGGAAGGTAGTTCAGGATTCTGAGAGGTGGAGGGAGGAGAGAGTGTCCTCCAGACCCCAGGGACCAGGTGTGCAGAGGTGCCTAGGGCAGGTGAAGGCAGACTGTGGGTGGGGAACAGCAGGGAGGAAGAAGAGGAGTGACGTGTCAGTCAGGGCACGTTTAGGAAGAGGCGTCGTGCTGAACAGCGGCAGTACGAAGAAAGGCAGAAGTAGTCCTTGCTTTCGGGGGTTCAGTCTGACGAGAAGAAACATGCCAACAACCTACGGACAAACGAGGCATCCAGGCTAAATTAGGGACAGTCTCAGAGGAAAGAAGTGGAGGTGGGCTTGGGGGACATGAGTGGAAGTGCTTGGAGTTGGGAGAGGGAGTGGGACGCTCAAGGAGCAGCAGCAAGGCCGGCGGTACTTGTGTGACAGCAGGATCAAGGGGGTAGAGGAGTAGGTGCTGGGCGATGAGCAGGTGCAGGAGCTGGGACGTCAGGCGGTTTGAGAGCATGTTAAACTGCTGGAGTGTGAGGGCAGGAGTTGGGGAGGAGAGAAAGCCTGTGAGCCAGGTACTGAACTCACTGAGAATGGAAGCAGCGTCCTGGAGATTGGTGGACAGCGACCGAAGGAGAGGTTACTGAGTGGTGGCAGAGGGAGAGGCTGGACGTGGGAGATGGGGAGCAAGGAGGATTCCAGTTCTCCTCCAGGACCAGTGAGTGAGTCAGGGCTACGTGTGAAATGGTGTCTTCAGGTGCGAGCCTGCTCTGAGAGAGTACAGGAAGGTGAAAGCAAGCTGTTACCTGGGGGGGCCCGCGTTCCAGAGAGCACAAACGAAGGGGGGTAGCTTTGCCATGGGACCCTGGGTTTAGAGAGAGGTGAATAAGGGAGCATTCAGTGAGGACAGAGAGCAGGATTTAAACGGTGGCAACCAGGAGTTGTTAATCACTCTAGTCATTGTGGATGTCAGTCTTCTGGTGCAGCTTCCTTACCGCAACACGACATGACAATATTCCATTACGTCGTTAGACAATCCTGAGCGTTTGGGGTGGGTATTGAGACGCTGAACAAAGAGCAGTGTGACATAGCTGGTTACCAAAGTTGAGCGGACACAAGCTTATTCAAGAAGACGCCATATTGTATCAAGGAGACTTGCTGTAGAATTAAGCTGGAGGAGACATCATAGTTCACACTAAATTGTCTGGGATGCTTCCCTCTCCCATGCCTCCGTCCCAAGACTTCCTTTTCCCGCAGAGGCATATACTCTGGGAATTCAGGTGCATCAGGCTTGTGTGAGGTGCGATTTGCCAGGTCCGTTGAGCATATCCTTTTTCTCAGCCTTAGCTTTTTCAATAGCAGGAACTATGCATTATGTGATTTAACCCTAGCCTCAGTCTTGTACCTGATTACATTTGTCTGATGGTCAGGCTCCAGGGGGAGCTTGATAATGCAGGTGGGGCTGGCTCCCAGGACATTCCTTAGAATTTGCCCAGGTAGAACTTAGAACTTAACTTTGGTTGCTTTATCACTCAGTGAGTTCAAACTCAGGTTGTGTAGCAGCTGAATTCCAGTGTAATTGTCTTGTCCTTTATTTTCAGTCCTTTGATTTTGGCCTGACATCATTTGTCAGAAATCACTTCTTGGTGACAGAATCTTGGTATTTGGATACAGGGCAGCCGATTCTGAGATGGCTCATGGGAGATCAGAACACACTTCATCTTGGAATCTCAAGCCTGCCCTGTAGGCTTCTAATCCACCGTCTATGGGGATGATCTTGGCTAACATGCTCACTTGCTGCATGGGCGGAATTCTTCTGGCCAGCGTGGGTCCCAGTAAAATGAAGGGTCCTGCAGGTATTACCAAACAACTAGGATGAAACAGTTCACATCAAATGCTAAGATTTGACTATTGCCCTACCTTTGTCTTAAATTCAGTTATACAAGTGCTCTAAAGACACAGTCCATTGGGAGAAAGGACGGAATCACTGCACAAGTGACCGATTTCCCTGTTGAGGGTTCTGTGGGCAGAAGTACTTGTCTACACTTCTAAAATATCTAAGCCATTAAAAGTTGCCTTATAAACAGCACAACCAGCATTACTAGCAAGTAAAGTCAGTCACCCAACGAGTATCTATTAATGATCAGGTACTGTTTGTGAGGGGATACAAAGAGAGGCAAAAGAAGTAGAGAAGACACATAGAAAACTAGATACCTACAAGCTGTAGGCAGCTCCAGGGTGCCACAACGCTTAGAGCAGTGGGCCTGGAGTTAGGAAAACCGAGGTCAAATCCAGCCTCAGACATTTTCTAGCTGGGTCCCCCTGAGCGAGTCACTTAAAGGCTTCCTGCCTCAGTTTCCTATTTTCAAATTGGGAATAATAATAGTACCTATGTCATGTGTTATAGAAACACCAGTTTCCATTATTATTATCATTACACAGATTTGACTGATGATTTCTGAGTTAGTTTACAGCTGGGATAGTCTGTGTTTAGGAGTCTGGGCTACATGGTCAGTTTTAGGAGAGAGAGTTTCAAAGGTTCAGAGAAAGAATAGGTAAGATTCAATCTCCTAACATTTTGCAGGGGAATTTAATGCAAGGGAAATATGAAGCTGACAAAAATAAAGTTTTGGCAGACAAACGGAAATCCTTCCAGTTTGGAGGGAGTGGAGGACCCTAAAGAGACCATGTTGCTGCATCAGGGATCTTAACGATACACGTGTGGCACACAAAAATGATAACAAGTCACTAAGAGGTGGAAAAGCCTATCAGAATGAGCAGAGGTCCGGTGACAAAATGGCGGCGGCCGCCACGGGCATAGCTGCAGACACAGTCACTTCACCTTCCCTAGCGGCTCTGCTTTGGCCTGGTCTCCTTGAGGACAGTGCTCACTGCTTCAGAAAAAGACAACCCAGATGGGGAGGCAAGTGAAGGCCACAGGTCCCTGCCCTTGATGGATAGCAGTCATGTCTCGCACACAGACCCTGTGCTGGAGGACAGAAATAACAGGTGTGAAGAGTGAGCCACCATAATGATTTCTGAAAACTCATAGAGTGTGGAAGGAGAGCTTCGAGACTGAAGACGGGCTGGAACAGGTGACCACACTGAGTGACACAAAATTTCATGGTTGTTAAATATCTAATTCTACACTTCGACTTAAACATCGAACTTTACAGATTCAGTGCAGGGGGAGCAGGGCTATTTGACAGCGAGAATGCTGGTGGTCTAATAGAGTGGGAGGACAGTATGATGCAGCAGCCAAGAAAAGTTAGTAGCATAGGAGGCTTTGTTTCCAAAGCCAGGAAGGTGATAGTTCCAACACACTCTGCTTTGTTCTGTCTAGACATGGTCCTTCCTTTCCCTTATTTTAAGACATCCTTCTCCTCGCTGGCTTTTTGGACCTCTTTTGCCATTTGCGTTAGGCTATTTTTTAAGGTGTTATTTTCTTCAGTATTTTTTGGGGGCTCCTTTAGCAAGCTGTTGACTTGTTTTTCATGATTTTCTTGCATCACTCTCATTTCTTTTCCCCGTTTTTCCTCTACTTCTCTTACTTGCTTCTCAGAATCCCTTTTGAGCTCTTCCAAGGCCTGGGACCAATTCATATTTTTCTTGGAGGCTTTGGATGTAGGAGCTTTGACTTTGTTGTCTTCTTCTGGTTGTGTGTTTTGATCTTTGTAAGTAAGATTCTCTGGTCTGACTTTTTTGCGCTGTTTGCTCATGTTCCCAGTCAATTACTTGACTTTTAAACTCTTTGTTAAGGTAGAGGTCTGCTTCCAGTGTGGAGAATGTACTCTCCCAAGCTTCAGGGATTTTGTGCAGCTATTTTCAGAGATACTTCTAGGGACCTATAAATTTTCAGTTCTTCCAAGGTGGTATGATCAAAGGAGGAGTGTTTACTCCTTTCCTGGCCTGTGCTGTGGTATGTGAGTGACCACAAGCACTCTTTTCTGCCTGGGAACTGTGAGGAGGATTCTCCCTCCACCACCACGAGCTCTACCACACCAGCGCTTCTCCTTGCCCCAGGATCGCCACCCAAAACTGTGACCCAGATCCAAGCACCGGCAAAGCAAGAGAATCCTGCCTCAGCGCCAACAAAGAGATTCCTGCAATCCACCTCTGATCGGCCACTCGATCCCGCCCTTGAAACAAAATTGGTGTCCTTTTACTGGGGAGTGGTTAACTAAATTTTAGTATATTAATGTAATGGGTAGCTCGGTGGCAAAATGGATAGTGCATTGGCTTGGCGTAAGGAAGATCTGAGTTCAAATGCTGCCTCTAGACATTTCCTAGTTTTGTGATTCTGGGAAAATCACTTAATCTCTGTCTTGGCCTCAGTTTCCCAATTTGTAAAATGAGGCCGCAGGGCATATAGGTGGCATAGTGGGTAGCGTGCTGGAATTGGAATCAGGAAGGTTCATCTTCCCAAGTTCAAATCTGGCTTCAGACACTTATTAGCTGTGTGACCCTGGGCAAGTCACTTAACCCTGTTTGCCTGTTTCCTCATCTATAAACCTGGAGAAGGAAATGGCAAACTACTCCAGTATCTTTGCCAGGAAAACCCCATATGGAAGAATCAGGAAAAGTTGGATACCACTGAAAAATGACTGAACAACAATGAAGCTGATGATACCATCTACTTCATAGGGATGTTGCAGGGAACCATGGGACGATATTTGTTCCTTACAACATGAGATAAAGTGCTTTGCAGACCTTAAAGCAATCTATAAATGTTAATAATAGTATTATTGTGCCATTAGTAACAACATATAGGAGGAATTCAGAGAAACATGGGGAGTCTTCTATTACCTGATGAATAAAGACAACTGGATTAGGAGAGAAAACAATATTCACAATGATTTTAATAATATAAATGAAACCAGCACTAGAAGCCCTCTTACCTCAGTTAAATGTAAGGACCAGTCTTGTGATGAAATGTACTTTCCTCTTCTTTGTAGAGAACTGATGGACTTTAGGCAAAGGCAGTTAGTTACATCTATGGACACAGTCATTGTTGTTTGGTTTTATTTGACTGTTTTTCTTTGTTTCAGCAGAATTTGGGAGGGTAAATCATGGGAAATAATTGTAGTGAATATAACCTCAAAACAAGGATTAAAGAAAATAGTAACAAAATTCATGTGGAGGAGTAGAAGGTCAAGAATATTATTGGAGGCAGCCAAGTGACATACTGGATAAAAAACTGGACTTGGAGGCTGTAAAGCCTCAGTTCAAATCTGGCCTCAGGCACTTCATGTTTCCTTGACTCCTCAGGTCTGTCTTATGGGTCACAAAGATCCCCAATTATGTAGACCCCTGTCCTCTCCACAACAGGGTAGCAACAGGCTTTCTCCTTTTTCCCCTCCCTCCTGCCTCCTCGGGATCTTTGAATTACAGGTATCAGGTCTGTTTTCCACTTCACCCTTGTTTATCTTTTTTACACTTAATTTTGTGATCTTGGGCAAGTCACTTAACCTCTGCCTGCATCAGTTTCCCAATATGTAAAATGGGGGTGATAATAATAGTATCTAACTCCCAGTGTTGTTGTGAGGATAAGAGATATTTGTAAAGCTCTTAGTAATGCTATCTATATCAAGGGAAATAATTTAAAATGATAGGAGTTAAAAGGGTCTAGCATGACCAGATAGCATGTGTTATCCAGTAGTAACTATGAAAACCATCTAGTCCTTTTCACAAATACTTCAAATTCAAATTCAGGACTAGATGATCAAGACTTGTAAGCAAATGGTATTCTAGATTTTGACCAACCCCAGCATAAACTGCTAGGGATGGGATCCTGTTTGACATGAACTGCTGGGACACCTGAAACACAGTTTTGAGGAAATTATAGCAATCTAACAAACCTGCATCAATGGAGATGGCAACCCATTTCTTGTTTCAAAGTTACCTGAGGTATAGAGAAGTTAAATTATTTGGTAAGAAAACTAGGGACAGGAGGAATTTGAACCTAATTTGACTTAAAGCCAAGCACTGTCCATTACACGTCGCTGCCTCTCTGTGAGAAGATACGGTTAATTTTTTTTTCTTGACAGAGAATACAACAAAGTTCCAGGTGTATGGAATGGAGAAATAATAGAGTTACATTTTCTTATGTCTTTCAGATTGGGGAGCTAGGCCTGAAACCAAGGAGTCAGCTCTAATCATTTCAGTTGAAGAATCATTCCAAGATGGAATCATAGGGAATAGTATCTGTATCTCCAAAATGGAAAAAGCCTGGGAATGTGATGCCAAGTTACAGAGGCAGCAGAGCGATAAGAAGTGTTCTCAGCAAGTAAAAATCACCCCAAAGAAATCTCACAATAAACTGAGAGTCCAGGAATATAATAAATTTGGCAGAAGCATCAATCGGGGGCTAATCCTTTTTCCACAGCAGAGAATATATGTAGGAAAGAGTCTCTGTAAATATGATACATTTAAAAAGTATTTCAGACTACATACAGACCTAAGAAAATTTAGCAGAATCTGTGCAAAAAAGATATTTTCTAAGTATGATGAATGTGGGAAATCTTTCAGGTATACATCAGATCTCACTGAAAATCATAGATTATATACTGGAGAAAAACATTATCAAGGTAATGAAAGTGGGAAAAATTTCCACCAGAGTTTATTGCTTACTCTACCTAATAGAATTCATACAGGAGAGAAGTTTTATGAATGCAGTGAATGTGGGAAGGCCTTCCAATGGAGATCAAGACTTACTAAACATCAGAGAATTCATACTGGAGAGAAACCTTATGAATGTAATGAATGTGGGAAGACCTTTCAGCAGAGAGTGCAACTTACCCAACATCAGACAATTCATACTGGGAAGAAGCCTTATGAATGTAATGAATGTGGAAAAGCCTTTCGTCTAAGCACAGGACTTATTCATCATCAGACAATTCATACTGGAGAAAAATCTTTTAAATGTAATGAATGTGGGAAGGCCTTCCCTGTGAGTGCATATCTTACTCAACATCAGAGAATTCATACTGGAGAGAAACCTTATAAATGTAAGATCTGTGGGAAGGCCTTCCGCCTGAGTACAGGACTTACTCAACATAAAACAATTCATACTGGAGAGAAACCTTACGAATGTAACGAATGTGGGAAGGCCTTCCGCCTGAGAACACAGCTTACTGAACATCAGACAATTCATACTGGTGAGAAGCCTTATGAATGCAATGAATGTGGGAAAGCCTTCCGTCTGAGCACAGGTCTTACTCAACATCAAACAATTCATACTGGAGAGAAACCTTATGAATGTAAGGAATGTGGAAAAGCCTTCAGTCAGAGGGCAGAACTTACCCGACATCATAGAATTCATACTGGAGAGAAGATTTACAAATGTGATGAATGTGGGAAGGACTTCCGATGGAGCAGAGGACTTACACTGCATCAGAAAATTCATAGTGGAGAAAAACCTTATGAATGCAATGAATGTGGAAAGGCCTTTCCCCTGAGCTCATATCTTACTCAGCATCAGAGAATTCATACTGGAGAGAAATGTTATAAATGTGATGAATGTGGAAAGGCCTTTCCTTTGAGCTCACAACTTACTCAGCACCAGAGAATTCACACTGGAGAGAAACCTTATAAATGTAAGGTTTGTGGGAAAGCCTTCCGCCTGAGCCAAGGACTTACTCAACATCAGACTATTCATACTGGTGAGAAACGGTATGAATGTAATGAATGTGGGAAAACCTTTCGTCAGAGGACAGGACTTACTGAACATCAGACAATTCATACTGGTGAGAAACCTTATGAATGCAAGGAATGTGGGAAGGCATTTCGTTTGAGAGCACAACTTACCCAACATCAGAGAATTCATACTGGTGAGAAACCTTATGAATGTAAGGAATGTGGGAAGGCCTTCAACCACCGACCAGAACTTAAACGGCATCACAGAATTCATACTGGAGAGAAACCTTATGAGTGTAATGAATGTGGGAATGCTTTTCGCCTTAGCACACACCTTACTCGACATAAGAGAATTCATACTGGTGAGAAACCTTATGAATGCAGCGAATGTGTATTGTCATTTCGCCTGAAGACACAGCTTACTCAACATCAGAGAATTCATACTGAAAAGAAACTCTATGAATGTCATGATTGAGGGAAACTTTCTTCCAAAGCAAACACTTTACTCAATATCAGCTGCTGTTGAAGACAGAAATCTTGTGAAAATAAGGAATGTGAAAGAACCTTTAGCTAGAGCACAGACCTAAAAATCAGGTAATTTATATTGGAAGGTCATGTGGACATTGTGAATGCAAGGAATTTCACCCAAACAGTCCTTAACTGAAAATAAGAGAATTCAAACTGAAGGATATTTTGTAGATTCACCAAGCACTTTTCAGAGCAGCTGTTCTAAAACCTTCGTCTCCCTTCTGTGCCTACTTTCCACAGTCCCCACATGTACTGCAGGTGATTTAGATCTAATTTATGACAAAACAGTCACAATCTGACAGGCTCTCACTACGGTTTCATACCCCAGAACTCTCTGGAATTGTCAAGCATTCTTTCCTTCCTTTTAGTCTTAAAAGAAGAGATCCTCTTTCTTTATGAATGTGGAAAGGCCTTAAGACACGGAACAGAACTCAGATATTATCATGGCATTCATACCGGACAGAAACCTTTTCACAGTGAAATAGGAAGGCCTTCCACATGAGCATATACCTTATCCTGGAGAGAAATCTTATGAATGGAGTGAACATGAAGATTTCAGTCAGAGCTATTCTTCTTTTTTTTTTTTAAAAAATAAGTTATTATTAAAATCTCTTTCTTATAGTTATCCCAAGTATTCTTCCCTGTCCTCCTCCTAGGGAGCCATCCCATAGAATAGTATTTTTAGAGAGGGAAAAAAAAAAAAGAACATAACTGTTCGATGTATAGAAAAAGCCCCCAAATATGCAGCGCTAACACCTGTCCTTGTGAGCCTCCCACCTTCATGAATGGGCAGGTTGGAGGGGCTGTCCTCTCATCTTCATTCTGGTCTTGTTGGATTTTTATCATTTTGTTACATTTCCTTTTGACGTTTTGTTGCCTCATCCTTTCCATTTCCATCGTTGTAATTACTGTGCGTTTTCTTGGCTCATCGTTCTTTACTGAAAATTAGAGAATGCAGACTAAAGTTGCACAAATGAGGTGTGTAAATTCCTTTGTATGTTTTCACAGTAGCTTTTCTTTTTCCCTCCTCCTGAAGTCTCCAGTAACCTCTTTACCACAGTCTCCACACATACTGTAGATGGCATAAGACTCTTGATTTGCTGAGGAAATTGTGACAATCTGGTGTTTGCTCAGGCCCCCATCTTCACTCCTCAGAAACTATTGTAATGATCAACCACTCTTCCTTCTAGTCTAGAGGAAGAGAGGTATTCTTGCACTTTGTCAAGACTAATTCCTTTTCTCGTACCTTTGATCCCACCCTCTCCTGCCAACTCCAGAACCTCATCTAAGTAATTATGTACTCTTTTGTTGTCAGGCTATCCCTCTCAATCTCATCTTTCCTAGCTGCCTACAATTTAAGTTCTTTCACTCTATAAATATTTATCATGTGCACATTTCCAATCAATTGCTAAATCTTTGTTTCTAACTACAACATTCCACTCACACAGGACCACCTTAATTCAGGTTCTTATCACCTGGCCAAATTATGATAATTATGATCTGGATTCCTGGCCTGACGTGAATAAATGAAGAATGTATTAAACATTTACCATGTGCCAGGTACTATGCGAAGAGCTGAGGATATAAATACAAGCAAAACAGTACCTGCCTCCATGATCTCTTATGTCATTATGGAAAGTCAGCACATATTAGGGAATGTGGGTCAGGGAGGAGTATTCTGGATAGGGTAGCCAAAGGGAATGATGATTTGGAGTCATAGGACCAATGACAGACACACCTTTTCTAGGGATGATAGCTTTGGCTTGATTATCGTTTGCACCTAGAGCTTGAGATGGGAGAAGGGCATGTGCAGTGCCATGCAGATCGCCCCAGTAAGAGGCCTAGTGGGCTTGGGTCCCAGTGAGGCAAGGTTGAGTACTTGCCCATTAAGAGCCCAGGCCATCCTCCACATAGCTAACAGTGATTCTCTTAGAGCATGGGTCTATGCATGTCTCTTCAAGTGTCCTACGCTACCCCACCCTCACTGAAAAAATGAAGCCATTCACCCAAAGTGGCGAAGTCAGACTCAAATAGCAATGAATACCTGTGCCCGTATGTTGATTTAGAAAAACACTAATATGTTATGGTTATTTTATTTGTTTTGTTAAACATTTTCCAATTATATTTTAATCTGGTTCCATTGCCCTCTAACTTAGATCTCCCTTCTTGCTCTGTCATCTGTCATCATTCATGCATTTCCTCCTTCAATTCAGGCTCCAAGGAAGAGATGGCCTTTCTTGCTAAGATTGGCCCTTCTATGTGTGCCCCAGATTTCACTCCTTTTGATTTTACTTTTCACCTTCCCTCTCTCATATTCAATCTCTCCCTATCTACTGGTTCCTTTCCTGATGGCTATAAATAGGCCCCAACCTCATCCATGAAAAACCTTCAGCAGATCCCACCGTGGCTGCCAACTGTAACCCCATGTTTTCCCTTCTCAGGTAAAGTTCTTGAAAAAGTGGCTTATACTCAGTGTTTCCATTCCCTCCCACCTCCTCACTTTCTTCTAAACTCTTTGCTATCTGAGTTGATAGTCATCATTAAACTGAAATTGTTTTCTAAAGTTACTAATGAGTTTAATTACCAAATCTAATGACCTTTTCTCAGTCCTCAACTGTTCTGTAACGTTTCACAGCGGACTACCTTTTCTTTTTTTTAAAAATTATCTTATTTTATTTTTTTGGACTACCTTTTCTACTGGGATACTCTCTACTCCAGATTTTTGATGTTCTCTCTCCTGGTTATCCTCCCTGTCTGACCACTCCTCAGTCTCCTGTACTAGAACTTCATCCGTGTTATGCCCACTTAACACTTAGGGTGTCCCTAAGGATCTGTTCTGTCTTTTCCTTATGCTCTCTCATTACGTGATCTTGCCAGCTCTCATGGACTCAATTATCTATGCAGATGATTCTCAGATCTATATATCCAACCATAGCCTCTATCCTAAGCTCCATTTCTACATTACCGACTGCCTATTGGACATTTTGAACTGGATGCCTCACAGACATCTCAAACTTAACATGTCCAAAATGGAACTCTTTAGATTTTCCCCAAACACTCCCCTTTTCCTGTTGAGGACACCACCATTCTCCCAGTCATCCACTTTTGTAATCTGTGTCAACTCTGACTCTTCACACTCACTCACCCTACATATTCAGCTAGTTGCAAATCTTGTAATTTCTTTCCCCAGACATACAACCCCTTCTCTTTGTTCATGCAGTCACCACCAAACTTCAGAGCCTCATCACTACTGCCCTCTTACTGGTCTGCCCATCTCAGGTCTCTTCACCCCAATCCACCCTCCGTACGACTGCCAAAATGAATTTCTTTAAAAAAAAGTTTATTGTTCCAAACTTGACAAACATTTTCATATACAAGGACAGAAAAAATGATTTTATACAAAAGTTATGGATTTCATGTACAGCTTTTTTAAAGTATTTAATAAATTCATATTAATTCCAAAGTTGTCCTGTGTGTTTTGCCCTCTGAACTTCTGTTTTCTTCTATGTATTTTTTAAGATGTTTTACTAAGGCTTTTTTTTTCTTCAGTATCACTACTGTGCAATCTTCCCCATCCCCTGCAATAAAATGCTTCCCTTGTGATAGATCCAAAGTGATTTTCCCAAAGTGCAGATCTGGCCATGTCATCCCTCTACTCAGTAAATTCCAGAAACTCCTCATCATGTCTAGAATCAAAGATGGATTTCTATGTTTGGCATTTAAAGTTCTTTCCAGCCTGGTCTCCTATATTTCCAAGATTCTTCATGTTACTACCCTCTGTGTGTTCTAGTCATACTTGGCCTATGTGCTATTACTCATGTGATGCTCCAGGCAGACTCCTTCTCTGTGTCTTTGCAGGGACTCTGCCCCATTCCTAGAATGTTCTTCCCTCTGGCTCTCTAAGCATGCTTGGAGGAGTTTCCTGTTCCCCCTAGAGGCTACTAACCTTCCACTCTTGGGTCACCTGCCATCCACTCTGTGTCATGTAGGTATAGGTTGTCTCCTATGTTAGAAGGTAAGCTTTTTGAGGGCAGGAATGTGTACCCTCCACTGCTTACCCTTCCAATCCTGCTTTAGAGTTAAAGAACCTAACTGAATGAAAAAGCATTTATTATGTGCTTAGTATGTACTAAAAATTGTCCTGAAGACTGGAGATAAAAATACAAGCAGACCAGACCTTCTGTAGAGGAAGGCAGCCCGCATGGGGCAGTAGTGGCTGGAGGGGAGTGTTTTGCACAAGGAAGTCAGTGGGACGGTGACTAGACTCATCTTTCTCAGGGTGCCCCTCAGGCCTCGGTGCATATCACGGCTCCTTTGTGGATGCTTCTGGCACCCAGAGAAGCGACTATTGCTGCAGTGGACACAGCACCAGCCACAGAGAAGCCCTCGGGATCTTTTGAACTCCTAAGTTTTCTGGATGCCCCCACATTGGAACATTCAGTCACCTAGTATCAGGAAAGAACAAAAAGAGGGCTGATCACAACCACACGTGGGCAGCTGCCTCACCTCCCATGTGATTTGCAGCACCAAATCTAGAGCCCTAGCTCACAGTACGGAGGGTGGATTGAGGTGAGGAGAGATTTGAGATGGGCAGACCAATGAGAAGGCAGTAGTGTAGAAGCAGGCCCCCAATATGCATGTGGGGGCTGGAACCAAGAACAGAACCCACCTGAAAGGGCAAATTAAGTGCTTACTGTGTGCCAGGCACTGTGCTAAGTACTAAAAATAGAAAGAAAAGTAATGAGTCCCTGCCGTCAAGGAGCTCACAGTCTAATGGTAGGTGATTTAATCCCATTTCTTCACAGATAAGGAAACCAAGGCTTAGAGGTAAGATAGTAGTTGAAAGGGATGGCAGGGCAGGATTCAAACTTGGACCCTGTGACTCCAAGTTCTGTTCTCCTTCCACTATACAAATGTTATTAAAGGAAAATCCATTCTGAGTTCCACATTTTGATGCTGAGAACATTTCAATAGTGGTAGAAATGTGTATTCACCTACCACCATCACCACCTACAGAGCAGTTGGAATGCAGACTATGTAATGCCCATGGTGTCCTCACATTGGACAGAGCCTATAGCAGGGTGTGTGCCAAAAGGAGACAAGGGTAGAAAGGAGGACGAGGGGCAGAACTGGGCTAAGAGGGCAAAGGCCTACAGAACCACTAACCCACAGGCCCGTGGGTTGGTCGGTTGGCTATCGTCCTTCGTTCTTGAAGAGGACCATGATGACATCACTATGTCAGAGTCAAGGTACAGTGCGTAGACTGTGGCTGACCAGACCAGTGTGAGTGCAGAAGGCTCTACCACAGGTCAGGCACAAAGAGCCCATGTGAACGTGCGGGGTGGATTCTTTCAATGTGCACATTCCACATTTCTTTTGAGCTACTTCAATTCTGCTTCAATCATAGATCAAAGAGCACAGCGCCTTCTTCGATGAGGGTACGCTATGCTGGGTAGTCCTTTGCTAGCCTCCTGTGTCACACATTCCATGTACCAATGGTGAGTAAAATCATTTTTGCAGAAGTTTTTGTACATTATTTTTGTGTGTGTTTTGACCACAAGGTGGGATTCCCCACTTGCCATGGTAAAAAGGCCAGGATTGGGTAAGCAGATGATTTTTAAAAAAATTTTATTTAATTTGTTTTTTGTTTTCAACATTCACTTCTTTTTTTTTGTGAGGCAATTGGGGTTAAGTGACTTAAAGTGCTCAGAGTCACACAGCTAGTAAGTGTTATGTGTCTGAGCCTGGATTTGAACTCAGGTCGTCCTGACTCCAGGGCCAGTGCTCTATCCACTGCACCACCTAGCTGCCCCTCAACATTCACTTCTATAAGATTTTGAGTTCTAAATTTTCTCCCCTCTCCCCCACTATCCTCTCCCCAAGACAGTGTGCAATCTGATATAGGCTATACATGTACAATCATATTAAACATTTCCACATTAGTCGTGTTGTAAAGAAGAATTAAAACTGAAGGAAAAAACCATGAGAAAGAAGAAATGGAAAAAAAGAGAAAATAATATGCTTCAATCTGCATTCAGACTTTCTTTCTCTGGATGTGGATAACATTTTCCACTGTGAGTCTTTTGGAGTTGTCTTAGATCCTTGCATTGCTGAGAAAGGTTAAGTCTACCAATATTAGTCATCGCACAATGTGGCTGTTACTGTGTATAACATTCTCCTGGTTTTGCTCACTTCACTCAGCATCAGTTCATGCAAGTCTTTCCAGGTTTTTCTGAAGTCCACCTGCTCATCATTTCTTATAGCACAATAGTATTCCATTATATTCATATCCCACAACTTGTTCCACCATTCCCCAATTGATGGGCATCCCCTCAATTTTCAATTCTTTGCCACCACAAAAAGAGCTGCTACAAATATTTTTGTACATGTGGGTCTTTTCCCCTTTTTTGTGATCTCTTTGAGATACAGACCTAGAAGTGGTTAATGCTGGGTCAAAGGGTATGCACAGTTTTACAGCCCTTTGGTCATAGTTCCAAATTGCTCTCCAGAATGGTTGGATCAGTTCACAACTCCACCAACAATGCATTAGTGTTCCAGATTTCCCACATCTTCTCCAACATTTATCATTTTCCTGTTTTGTCATATTAGCCAATCTGATAGGTATGAGTGGTACCTCAGAATTGTTTTAATTTGCATTTCTTTAATCAATAGTGATTTAGAGCATTTTTTCACATGACTATAGATAGCTTTAATTTCTTCATCTGAAAACTGCCTGTTTATGTCCTTGGACCATTTATCAATTGGGAGAATGCCTTGTATTCTTATAAATTTGACTCAGTTCTCTATATATTTTAGAAATAAGGCCTTTATCAGAGACACTGGTTGTAAAAACTGTTTCCCAGCTTTCTGCTTCCCTTCTAATCTTGGTTGCATTGGCTTTGTTTGTGCAAAAACTTTTCAATTTAATGTAATCAAAATTATCTATTTTGTATTTCATAATGTTTTCCATCTCTTGTTTGGTCACAAATTCTTCCCTTCTCCATAGATCTGACAGGGAACTATTCCTTGCTCTCCTAATTTGCTTATAGTTTCACTCTTTATGTCTAAATCATACACCCCATTTTGATCTTATCTTGGCATACGGTGTAACATGTTGGTCGATGCCTAGTTTCTGCCATACTATTTTCCAGTTTTCCCAACAGTTTTTGTTAAATAATGAGCTCTTATCCCAGAAGCTGGAGTCTTTAGGGTTATCAAACAGTAGATTACTAGAATCATTGACTACTGTGTCTTGTGTACCTCATCTATTCCACTGATCCGCCACTGTTTCTTAGCCAGTACCAAGTAGTTCTGATGATTGCTGGTAAGCAGACAGCTCTTCCTCACACCAGGCGGTGAGCAGTGTGATCCTTAAAAGGCTGCTCAGACACGTAGGGGGCTGCCGAATCCCACTGCTGCGTGGGCCGCCTGTGTGCAGGGTTGTGACTACAGCTCCCAGTGTATCCACACCTGCTGCTTCATCGCTTTCCTGTCACTACAGGACTTTGAGCTAGGTAAAAATGTACAGGTGATGTCTTTTGATTCATGCATAAATTGGATTTAAGTGAGGCACAGCTGCGTGAAGTCGCCAGCCTCACTCTCTTCCAGAATTGTCTCAGTCCAGCGGTGGGGACGGAGTCAAGATGACTGATGCTGGCTCGGGATGCAGTGGGTGACCTCAGCGTCTTTGACGTCTAACCAAGCACGGCCACTGAATCACATTGTTCTCATCTACCCACTCCACCAGGGGAAGTCTTCACATGCTTGGGGTAGACGCCCCCCACTCATCAACGAATTTAAGACTCCTTGGTTACCCTTAACCTGGCTTAGCCCATCTGCTGAAACAGTTTACCAAGGTGTGGCCACTGCGCATGCTACAGCATCTTGGAGCCACAGGTGAGAGTTGGGTGAATCAAGGAGTCACCAAAGGTGGAAAGCAGCTCTGAAAAGGGTTCAGCAGCCCTCACACCAGAGGAACTAGCCTTCTCTGAACATATCGACTCCCTAGTCTGGCCCTACCATCTCCTGCTTTCCTTCCTGCTACTGCTTCTGATCTGGGCTTCTCTCGTGCCTATCCTGTAGCAGACCATGAGCACCATCCCTTCTCTACTCCCTATCCCTAAAATAAATATTCTCAGGTTTTTGTAGGTATTTTAATGTTAGTAAAGAAGGCAATATTAACCAAAATGTCAGTATATCTTCCATATGGTCATTTTACCTATGAATGAAACTCCAGAGACAATAAAGACGTGGCATGTAAATGGAAGAATGATTCATAGGTGCTCTTCCAGGGAGTTCATAAATTATAAAACGTTAGAATTGATAAGGACACTGAGGTCATCTACTTCAACTTTGTCCTGAAAAAGAATCCCCTCTCACGAATCAAGATGCTGGTGGCTGCTGAGCCCCAAGGACATTCC